TGCCGTCCCATTGAGCACGGATCGGAACGCCGGATCGGATTCCTTACTATAATGAGCGTTCCGTTCTCTAGTTCCGTTCCGTAAAAGTTTCCTCTACCAGTCCCATGCAAGAACATGCAAAAACGGAACGGATTTCTAGTTATAAAATATATTTCACTCTTCAATTAAATATTTCAGAATATTCATGACAATGTTATCGGCAAGATAATTGCATAAATTATGTATATAATTAATTCTGTCGCATCAAAATAACGAAATATTGACGAATTAATCATATTTATTTGCGACCGACGCGCTATTCCGTTCCGTTTTTGCTACATGGGACTGGTAGAGGAAACTTTTACGGAACGGAACTAGAGAACGGAACGCTCATTATAGTAAGAAATCCGATCCGGCGTTCCGATTCGTGCTCAATGGGACGGCATCCTTACAGTCGGAGAATAATCAATCGCGATTAGTCAATTCGTTTAAAGGCCCTTGCAGAATGCCAGGCAACAGGCAATAGGAACAGAAAATAGGAATTTGTATTGGTCAATTATTTCTATTCCCTGTTTCTATTGGCTAATGCCTATTTCTATTGCCTGTAGCCTTAAAAGCCCTTGCACAATGCCAGGTTACAAACAACAGAAATAAGCATTAGCCAATAGGAACAGGAAATAAAAATAATTGACCAATTCGAATTTCTGTTCCCTGTTCCTATTGCCTGTTGCTTGGCATTCTGCAAGGGCCTTTAATTTTTCTGTGTACCTATGTGTGGATCCTTAAATATGAACAACATGATTTTTTAGATATAAATAGTTAATTTAGGTACAATATATAAAGCTTAAATAAATATAGATAATTTGAATAATTAAAATAAATATAAATGAGATATAATATAAAAAATTAATCAGTCATTTTCTATGTTCTTCGAAGAATTGTCAGAAATCAATATATTTTATAATCGGTTCACTTGGACGTTAATAATTTTTTTCAATATTACCATCCTTACCTACGAAAACATATGCCATGACCTGTCTGACATTACAGAGTGCATCTTTATCTAGTCTGCGCCGATCCGTGTCAGGTGAAGGTGGATGTAGACGTAGACGACAGGTATTTCGTAAAATCAGTGAAGCGTAAAACTCAAGTTCTTCCTTCTACTTTCGTTTTCTTTTCCTCGCTACTGAAGAAAATGATACCGAATTGTATCAGGAATGCGATCGCACAGTCGTCTCGACGAAACGTAAGTGATATACCGACGGTGTTGTAACGTACATATGACCTCTAGCTCGCGGTATCGCGTCCCGTGACAGAATCTTAAGATTTCCCATTCGTTACTCGCAACAGACGTTACGACACGATATTTGACGAGTCTTTTTCTTCTTCTTTCATTATCTCGCATACTCGCCCAGTTTGGAAGCTGGAACGAGGTAATTATGACTCGCGTGACACGGGTGCAGCATTCTTATAAATAGTGCTGCTGCCTTTTGTAATTTCACTCTAATTGTCTCTTTAATCGACGTTAACAACAGCTAAAAAACTTGGAAAAGAAAACACACCAACGAGTCACGCAATACAATGTGAATTTCACAATGTTGCACATGTTACAGTAATATATTAATTCTATATTGTAAGCTCATTGAACTACTGGCTTTTAGGTAGCTTCATTTTTTTTAAGCAAGAAAAATAATTATGCCACTGAAGCTTTCTTTGAGACCAAGCCCTATCGTCTGCACAAATTGGATTCAGGTCCTTCCATTAAAGTTACTGTCACTAGAGATGAAGCCATTGAGCTATTTAAGCAGCTACATATGATACGTCGCATGGAAACAGCTGCTGGCAATTTGTACAAAGAAAAAATCATCCGTGGTTTCTGCCACTTGTACTCTGGACAAGTAAGGACTGTGTAGCACTCAGCATGTAGGAGGAAATGTCCAACAGTTAGCACTTGTTACAGTATTCACCAGTTCCTGGTACTTTTGCTTGAATTTTATCAAATATTAAGAAGTTTATTTATCCAATGCTTAAAATATATAAAATTTAATGTAACATTTACCACATAAAACAAGTAAAGTGCTGGATGTCTTTCCCTATTTTTCTTAAACTTTTATACTTACTTTTCCCATACTTATTTTTTATTTGCTTGTATGTCTCCTGCAGGAAGCTTGTGCAGTTGGCATGAAAGCTGCTATGAGACCTCAGGACTCTGTAATCACAGCTTATCGTGCACATGGCTGGACATATTTGATGGGCATAGACACATTCGGTGTCATGGCAGAACTCACAGGCAAACAAGGTGGCAATGCTAAGGGAAAGGGTGGTTCCATGCATATGTATTCGAAGAACTTCTACGGAGGGAACGGCATCGTCGGTGCTCAGGTTGGTATTGAGTCCAGAATAAGACGTAATCCTTAATAAAACTGGATTCTCACGAAGTAGGTGCCACTGGGAGTCGGAATCGCCTTTGCGCATAAATACATGAACACTGGCGGTGTTTGCCTAGCGTTGTATGGCGACGGCGCGGCCAATCAAGGTCAGGTGTTCGAAGTGTATAACATGGCGAAACTCTGGGATGTGCCTTGTATCTTTGTCTGTGAAAATAATGGCTATGGAATGGGTACCAGCGTGGATCGCGCCTCAGCGAACACAGACTATTACACCAGAGGCGATTATGTACCTGGAATATGGGTATGCGTGTTTGTACCTTCTGTGTAATATGCGTCTTGATGCCCGTACTTACCGATAGAATTTGCCTAGGTGGATGGAATGGACGTGTTAGCCGTGAGGGAAGCCACGAGATTCGCGATAGACCATTGCACCTCTGGCAAAGGACCGATAGTCATGGAAACTGTGACGTACAGGTACAGCGGGCACAGTATGTCGGATCCAGGAACCAGCTACCGCACGCGACAGGAAGTGCAGGAAGTTCGACAGACGCGAGATCCTCTTACTAGTTTCAAGGAGAGAATTCTGAATGCTAACCTCGTCACCGCCGACGAAATCAAGGTCGGATGATCGCGTCCCTCTTGAATTCCCTGAAGTATTTTCTTGTAAAAAAAATACTATAATAATTTATGTGATATACATATTGTTTTGATAATTTTGTTAGGATTTTATTTTGTCGTTATTTAAAAGATGATCATATAAGTACTGAGTATAAGTAACTTATTTTCCTCTTCTGGTTGCAGACGATAGAGGGTGACATTAGGAAAACTGTGGACGATGCTGTGAAAGCCGCCAAAACCGACAAGGAAATTCCCTTGAGCGAACTCACTGCCGACATTTATACGACGTGCCTAGAAAAAGGAATTCGTAACACGACCCCTTTCAATCCTTTATCACATACCAGATTAGGGCCAGCTGTGAACGCTTAAAATTGCTCAAACATCGTTTTATAAAGCATTGTATATTTTACAGTCACGTATCATCCTCCCCTTCTCAGTGTCCTTAGTGAGATAGATAGATAAGTTTATAGATCAATGTAGAACAATGTACATGTTTTACATAAGATTCTTTTTAATTCAAGGATTTATTTTATTGAGAAGGAGTGGGTGCTGATGACGGTTTAATTTGAGTACAATTCTCGCACATAAACGCGGTGCTCCAACGTATACGTTTTATATTAGACTATCTGCTTAAAAAAAACAATCTTCGAGGCTCGAATGTATTTATTTCCAATAAGCAGAAGTTACTACGAAGATCCTGTACAATGTGCGCCTAAAGATCTGAGCCGTCTGTTAATGTGTTAAGGCTCCTTCCACTTCGCCGGTCATGTCAGATTTGTGACGTCAGAAGCGAGGAATGACATGCTGACGAAAGTTGCGTGCCATTTCTGAACAAAAGTAAATATAGATAAAGAGTAATTGAGATTGATTGCTTGAGCGCATCTGTAAAGTTATCCGAAAGGTGTTCCTTTCCTTTGATGATCAGTAAATAGTTATATAATAAATGGTGAAATGAGACACATGAAATGATAAAATAACTCAGTTTTGTCTGCATGCTTCATTTCATCATTTATTATGCGATTACTTATAAATCGTTAGAGGAAAAGGATACTTTTTGGATAAGTATGCTCAAATTATCTCAAGTGCTTTATCTTTATCTAGAAATATCTATATCTTTATTTAGAAATGGCACGCAACTTTTTCGTCGTTCCTCGCTTCTGACGTCATAAATTCAACACGGCCGCGGCAAAGTACAAGGAATTTTAATATAAAAGTGAATGTAAATAGCGTAAGAAAACAAAGAAATAAAAATTTGTTAACAGATACTCTCAAGAGAAACGAGTCAAATTCACAACCTTGATTCTTGCCATTCAATTTTTGTTGCAATTATTTCGTTTTACCTAAAAGACGCCTGTAATGAAGTCGCTGTTACGTTTCGCAGTACTTGTCTGTGAATCGACTATATATCTATTTTTTTTGCATAAATTTACAAAAAATGAAAGAGTTTTATTGGAAGTTTATTGAATTTGACTAGTGCGACGATTTTAAAACGTAATTGCGATCGCATTGTGAGTAACTCTGAAGACTGTTATCTGTTTATTAAACGTTTATTCTTATGTTGCCATTATCGATTTCGTTATTTCAATTTATATTTCTTCAATTTATTATTCTATAATTCCATATGATATATATATATATATATATATATATATATATATATATGTATATATATATATATATATATATATATATATATA